GCCCGGCCGGCGAGCTTGCGAGCGAGCGAGCGAGCGAGCGAGCGGCGGGATTAGCAGCCGGCGCCCTCACTTCCGCGTCCCGCCGCCCTGCGGCCCGCGCGCGCCAGCCACCGCCGCCATCGGACAATGGGCCGCTCGTCCCGGCGGCCGTGAACTTCCTAGCGCGGCCGCCCTGCGCTCCGCGTCGCCCAGGATCGCAGCCCCGGGCCCCGCGGAGGAAGCGGGCTCACGTCCCCGCCTCGGCCGCCGCTCGGCTCCCGCCGCATCCGGCCTCCGCGCGCTCCTGTCCCGCCCAGCCAGCGTCACCCCGGCCCCACTCCAGCCGCCGCCTGTCGTGGGTTTCCGAGTCCGGTTGCTTGAGGTGGATGTGATTTTTTTCTGTTCTTTAAGAAACAATCTCTCGTGTTTCTTTTTGCCGATCCTTCTCCTTTTGTGAATTGCACTAGAGAACTCTTCAGAGCAGGGCTAAGCGCCACCAGCTGTCCCCACGTGGACGCTCCTGAGGGGGGGGAAGCAAACTTGTTCCAGCTGGCCTGGAAGCTACCTTCACTTTGTCGGGATAGAAAGCCCTGGAATCATGACCCTTACGCTGTGCAGGTGGAAGTCTTTACCTGTCCTGGGCTGGACTTGAACTGATGCTTCCCCAGCATCCTACCGCCCCTAAGCTCACTCCTGGTGCCTGGGCCTGGCCCCATACGGGTCAGCAACATGGATAAGTATGATGACTTGGGCCTGGAGGCCAGTAAATTCATAGAGGACCTGAACTTGTATGAAGCCTCTAAGGATGGGCTCTTCCGAGTGGACAAGGGTACAGGCAACAAGCCGGAGTTCGAAGAAACTCGCAGGGTGTTTGCTACAAAGATGGCCAAAATCCACCTCCAACAGCAGCAGCAGCTCCTGCAGGAAGAGACCCTGCCCAGAGGGAGCAGAGGTCCTGTCAATGGGGGAAGCCGCCTGGGCCCACAGGCCCACCGGGACACTAGTGTGAGCAGCAAGCTGGCTGTGGACAGTGCTGGCAAGCCCCCTCTGGCTGCCCCAACAGTGGCACCTGGGGTCGCCACCACCATTGTGGCTGGGCAGCCTACGTACCCTCCCCAGGAGCAGAGGGCCAGGCCGTATGTCCACAGCACAAGGCCTGGCAGCCAGGACTGTGGCTCTAGAGAGGGTCCAGAAAGTTCTGAGATGTCTGCTTTCCATCCACCAGGCCCCTGCGAGGATCCTTCCTGCCTCACTCATGGAGACTATTATGACAACCTTTCTTCGGCAAGCCCAAAGTGGGGTGACAAATCAGGAGTGTCCCCTGGCATCGGCCTGAGTCTAGGGAGTGGGTGGCTTGATCCCCCAGGGAGTGACCTCTCACTGCCCAAACCCTGCGGGGACCATCGTCTGTACCAGCCACAGCTCTCTCTGAACTTCAGTCAGTCTTTTGAGAGTGGCCTCAGTGGTGACCAGGAGGGTGGTGGTGGTGGCCGCAGCAATGAGAAGGGAGCAGGCCTTTGGTGCACTGCCTCCTCTCAGAGGGTGAGCCCTGGCCTTCCTAACCCAGGCGTGGAGAATGGGACCCCAGCTCGGTCCAGGGGCCTGTCTGTTTCAGCACCCCTGGCCCCCAGCTGCCCTAGTCAAGGAGCTCCTCCAAGAACAAATTTGGGACTGGGGTGTGAGGCTCCAGGTGTGATGTCCGAGCCCACTGTGCACCCTCAGCCTCGGTGCCAGGATGGGCCCAAATCTTACCTTTCTAGTTCTGCCCCATTAGCTTCCACAGCTGGCAAGGACAATTCCCAGCCAGGTGTGGTCCCTGGACTGGGTCCCAAGCCTGGTTGCACGGACCTTGGCCCTGGTCCCAAGCTCAGCCCCACTAGCCTTGTCCACCCAGTGATGCCCACCCCGCCTGAGTTATCTCCTAAAGAGGGTCCTCCCAACTGGTCCCCTGACAGCACCCTGGGACCTAGGCTCCCAGGGAGCCCCAGTTCCACCCGGGTGAGACTGCCCTGCCAGACCCTCATCTCCAGTCCTGAGCTCGGACCCTCAGCTGCAGAACTGAAATTAGAAGCCCTCACCCAGCGTCTGGAGCGGGAGATGGATACCCACCCGAAGGCTGACTACTTTGGTGAGTTAGGGCTGCTGGAGTTGACCTTGGTGGGGTGATGGTGGGGTCCCCACCAGGAATGCCCTAGTTATCCTCGAGTGGCATTTTTTCTTTTGGCTTCCTGTTTGAATCATTTCTTCTGATTCAGGAACTTGAAAGCATCTTGATCAGAAAGCGGATCTTGTAGCTGGGAGTTACCCACTCGTGAAGGGTGAAGCAGGGTGGCACTGCTCATGACCGCTCTCAAAAAAGGGAAATGTGGGATTTCAAGTGTTTTGGGTGCCACTTCTAGCCTCTCACGGTGACAGGTTCATGGAGGACTCAATTGGGAGTAGCTTTCTCAGGCCAGAGACCCCTGAGTGGTCAGTCTGAGCTGCCCACAGCCATGTGTATGAGCGTGGGTTGTGTGGCTTTTGGTACTTGGGTACAGTTGAGGCAGGTGAATCATGGAAGACTAGTTTAGGTTTTGGATTTTTTTTTTTGTTACTTGGATTTAAAATCAGGGTCTCGTGCTTGCTAGACAGGCACTCTGTCACTTGAGTCACTTTGCTGTTCTTTTCTTTTTTTTTTGTGATGGCTATTTTTGAGATACGGTCTTGAGATCTGTTTGCCAGGGTTGGCTTTGAACCATGACCCTCCTGATCTCTGCCTTCTGAGTAGCTAGGATTACAGGTGTGAACCACTGGTACTTGGCTTGCTCTAGTTATTTTGGAGATGGGGTCTTGCAAACTATTTGCCCAGGCTGGCCTAGAACCTCAGTCCTCCCAATTTTAGCTTCCCAGTTAGCTGGGATTACAGGCATGAGCCACTGGCACCCGGCACTCACTTCCTTCCTTCCTTCCTGCTCTTTACGGTACTGGAGTTTGAACTCAAGGCCTTGTATCTGCAAAGTAGGCTCTCTACCACCTGAGCCACACCCCAAGTCCTTTTTTGCTTTAGTTATTTTTGGGATAGGGTCTATGTTTTTGTGCAGGCCAGTCTGGTCTTAATCTCCTCTTTTTACCACTACGTAGCTGGGATGACATGTGCCACCCCAACCAGCTTTATTGCTTGAGATAGGGTCTTGGTAACTTTTTGCCCAGGCTGAACCACACTCCTCTCAGTCTCTGCCTCTTGAGTAGTTGGGTTTACAGACTTGAGCCACTGCACTCTGCTCCTGTTTTAGTTTTTTGCAAGAGGGTCTCAGCCTATAGCCCAGGCTGGCTTTGAACTCATGATCCTTCTGCCTCAATTTCCCAAATGCTTACTTTATTTTTTGACTATGCATCATATTTGCACATAGAAAATTCCACAGATCCAGAAGTCTGCACAAGGAAAAGGCAGTCTCCTTTGCACTTGGACGTTCTAGTCGAATGTCCCGGTACAATGAATGTAGCATGTGGTGTGTGTCTCTGTCAGTCCCATTCATGGCCTGCTGCCCACTGCGCCTCGCTCCCACACTGGACTGTGTGTCTTGGGAGTTGAATAGCATGTGTTGAGTGATGGATGACCAATGTCCCTGGGTCATGACTCTTCAGAATGTGCCTGTCTGCCACATTGTAGGTGTAGTGGTAGGGTAAAGTCCCAGGAGAGGGATTGCTGGGCAGGGAGCATTGTACCCTTCAGCTGTCACCCAGTTACCCTCCATGGAGTTTGTGCGTGGAATGTGGGGGGGTCTGCCCCACAGCTACTTGGCAGTGGAGCATCCACGCTCTCTTTCCTGACTGGCTGTGTGGCAGGAAGTTCCATCTGGCAGTTGAGTCTTGGCCTGGCCCTGCTGGAGGACCTTGAATGGACCGAGTGCTCTCCAGGCCACGATGCCTTGTCTGTCTCTAGAACCAGGTGGCCAGCCACCTGGTCAGCAGAATGCCTCTGCCACGGACGCCTTCCCCTTCCCTGGATCTGATAATCCTAGAAAGGTTTTGGTTTTGTCTTTATCACACACAATGTTTGTTAAATGCTTAGATTTTACTTCCAAGTGCACGATTTTTTTCATGGTACAGGGCTCTTGGCAGAGAGAGTTGGAGTACTCCAATCCACTATCAAGGCCAATGTCATTCTGGTTGCTTGGCCTAGCCCCACACCTCCTGGGTATCTGACTGTGACAAGAGCCTGTGAGAGCCTTTAGAGACTGCAGACCCCTGGTTTCTGGTTATAGGTTAACTACCTTAGCATGGAGGGCTCTTCTGGCGCTTTCCTTGGCTTTCTTTGTGGGTTTAGTAAAATAGACTTCCATAGAGGTCACATTTCTTTCCCCTCTCCCTGCTGGGTAAGAACAAACAAACATTAAAAAAAAATTATATAAATAAATAAATAAAATATATACATAGTTTTTGTTTTTAATCAACACATAGTAGTTGTCCATATTTCTGGGGTGTGGTGTGACATTCAGCACACAGCTATAATGTGAAACAAGCAGATCAGGCATAGCTATGAACTCTGACATTTACTTTTTTTTTTTTTGCGGTACTGGGGTTTGAACTCAGGGCCTACACCTTAAGCCACTCCACCAGCCCTTTTTTTGTGTTGGGTATTTTCAAGATAGGGTCTCAGGAACTATTTGCCCAGGGCTGGATTTGAAGGGCAATCCTCCTGATCTCTGCCTCCTGAGTAGCTTGGATTACAGGCATGAGCCACCAGCACCCAGCTTCATTTATCATTTCTTCATGTTGGGAACATTCAAAATCTGTTCTGTTAACTATTTTGAAATACTGAATTGTCAACTACCCTACTGTGCTACAGGACGTTAGAGCCATTCCTCCTTGTCCTGTTAACGATGTCTCTCCATCCCTCACCCCACACCCTTCCCAGGCTCTGGTAAATACTGGCTAATCCCCACTTCTTTGAAATCAGCTCTTTTTGTTTTTGGCAGTGCTGATATTTGAACTCAGGGTCTTGCTAAGCAGGTGCTCTACCACTTGAGTCATGTCCTCAGCCTTTTTTGCTTTGATTATTTTTAAAATAGGGTTTTGAGTTTGCCCAGCCTCAGATGGCAATCCTCCTACTTATGCCTCCTGAGTTTCTGGGATAAAGCACACAGACGTGTGCTTTAGTTATTTTTCAGATAGGGTCTCATGTTTTTGCCCAGGGCCATCCTCCTACCTATGCCTCCCAGGTAGCTGGAATCACAGGTGCGCACCACCATATCCGACTTACTAGTTGAGTGTGTGGAGGGGGGTCCTCAATAACCTGTTGCCTGGGCTAGCCTCAAACTGCAATCCTCCCGATCTCTGTCTCCTGAGTAGTTGGGATTACAGGCGAGTGCCAACATGCTGGCTTGAGATGAGTGTTTTAACTTCCATGTGTAAGTGAGAATAGGTGGTGTTTATCTTTCTGTGCCTGACTTCCATTTCACGCGATGAAGGACAAGCTTGTTTGTGCTGCTGGGTGTTTGTTAGAAGACACTGGGGTGTGGTGTGACTTCTTATGCTGTGGTGTGTGTGTGTGTGTGTGTGTGTGTGTGTGTGTGTGTGTGTGTGTGTGTAAAGGGCATTGTGCCTTGGTTGAGCTATGCCCCACCCTTCTCCATGTCCATGTCTTCCTCACTCTGCTCCTCTCTCTAAGGAAAAAAGGTAGAAGTGAGCCGCTTATCACAGGCTGCGTTTCCTGGGAAGCTGACCCTGGAAGTTTAGTGTGCAGAGGGCCATTAAGGGTGCTATTCGGGTCCCTACCTGTGCCCACAGGGAGCCTGGAAGCTAGGTAAGCCATCCAGCATCACCTGAGTCGGGCTGAGAGAGCCTGACCTTCACACTCAGCATGGATCAGTCAGGCAACGTAGCCACCCTGGGAATGTGGCGACCTCGGGTGAGCTGGCCTGTGTAGCTGGGGCGGTCCCCTCAGGAGTGTGGTGTGCCTGGTGCACACCAGCACCCTGGCCACTTCTCTTTCAGTGAAGTATTTGCACAGCCTTGCTTCTTGGGACAGGAAAGAGCCCATGATCTTGGGCGCCCTGGTGCCTGCCGAGTGCCAGGCATTGCTGTCATTTATCCTCCCAGCTGTTACGACTCAGGCACCATCATTCTTTGTTTATAACCGAGAAGCTGAGGCCACAGGGGTTGGGTGACTTGCTCAAGGCTACACAGGTATGAGAGGTGGCACAGCCACCCGGGCCATAGCTTTTCCTTCTTTGATGGCTTGTGCGGTGTGTCTAGGTCGTCTCTAGAGTTTGAGTTGAATGCTGTCTGTTTGTCCTTCCAGAGTCACTGTCCATCCAAGTGCTGTAAACATCTGTGAGCTCCCTTTCCCTCCCAGACCGCCTTCCTCCACATTTAGGACTTGGGACTGGGCATCCTTTGGACCTGCAGCTCCTGTGCCCTCCTGTGCTATGGGGCCCGAGGACCATCCATGCAGAAGCTGCTCAGGAGACAGGGCCCTCAGCCCTAGCCCCCTGCAAGGAGGGAGAAGAGGCTGGGCATTGTCTTTACTTTTCTGGCTTTGGTCAACCTTCCTGTTGTGGTATTTGAATCCAGAACACCTCTGTGGCAGACTGATAGCCTGGACATAGGGATGAGTTCTGGAAGTGGCTCTGTGCCTGCCAGGGGCGGACCAGCCTGTTCCACCTGACTTCATTTTAGTGGCCATGCAGGAGGCGATGTGAGCAGTCCAGACACTGCGCCTACGAAAGCCATCCTCTCTGTCCCTTCCCCCTAGCCTCTTTCTTGTCTTAATGACCTTTTCAGCACTTCTTACCTGATGTTATTAGCAGTAGGTGTGTGACCTATGGGACAGAATTCCAGCCTAGATTACATACTGAACACTTTTTCTAGCAAAGGAAACAACGTGGGCCAATCCTGTAACCGAGCAGCTGTTCAGGGTCCCAGAACAGGGGCTGCCCGCCAGCTCTGTCCAGGGTGCCCCCTTCACAGATGGCAGGGGCACAGGCTTCATTCAGAGGGCGGGCATCCCTCCCCCAAGTCCACAGACCCACGGTTTCCTTCATCCGTCTGTGCTGCCTTGGGTTGGTTGGGACAGGCACAGCAGTCACACTCAGGCCCTGACTCCAGGCCATTGCGTGCTCGTCTTGTTTTCTGCCCCTGTGTTCCAGTCTCACTGCTGTTTCTGAGTGTTCGAGCTTCTTCTCCACACAGGCCCAGGCCCTTGCCCTTCTTAGCCAACGTCCTTCTGGCCAGGGCAGTGCTGCCCCTGCCTGCTGATCCCCTGGGGTGGGGGACACAGCCCCTGCAGGAGCGCTGACATGGGTTTCCCACGCTGTCTATCTGTTCCGGAGTGTCCTCTCTCTGGGGTCCTCCCCTCTGCTCTCTCCCTCCGTGACCAGGAATGAATGTCTTGGCTTTTCCCAGTCTTCCTGCTTTTCCCATTAATAATCAGAGTGTGGAACTGATTTTATGACATAGCCATTCTTGCCAGAGGTTGGTTCTCTCTCTTTCTTTCTTTCTTCTTTCTTTCTTTTTTTCTTTCTTCTCTCTTTCTCTCTTTCTCTCTCTCTCTCTCTCTCTCTCTCTCTCTCTCTCTCTTTCTTCCTCCCTCCCTCCCTTCCTCCCTCCTTTCCTTCCTTCTTTCTTTTCTTTCTTTCTTTTTCAGTACTGGGGTTT